CGGCCTGCCGGGCGGAGAAGGGCGGAAGATCACGCGAGTGGATGATGAGAGGAGAGGAGGGGAAGTGAATGGATGATGCATGGAGTTGACTGTCTGACTGTAGAATGACCTCGACCTTTGCGCATCTTCCTCAGCCTCCAACCTCAACCTCAAAACACTCCTAGAAGTCCTGCTGACTTGGCCTGATTTACTCGCTGGACGAAGAGGCTCATATTATCATCATCATTTATTTATTCTCCTTGACCTTCCTGTCTCCTCTTACTTCATCGCATCTGTGCCCACTTGACAGACGATCCCCAACCTCTTTCCCCCCTTTCTTACTGAGCATTCAGTTGTTGCCTGTGCACCCACCCAAACCCCGAACCCTTCTTTACTTAAACTTATCTATCCTTTGCGTCATACCTTCGCCGTCTCTGCCAGCCCGGCCTTTCCTTGCCCTCGCCTTCGATTTTCTTCCATCCCGTGAATCCCTACCCCCCCCATTACATTATTGAAATCTGTCTCCGTCATGTTCTCCGCTGGTCGTCGCAGCATTCTCGATGGACTCAATCGGCGGTACATCTACGGTCGCTTGGTATGTACTAGATAGACACTCTCAATTTCTTCTTTCTTAATTTACCACAACTCCACATATTACTACAACAATTCACCACAAATACCTCATTTCTTAAGATCTCTTTTTTGTTACCACAGCACGAAGAATTGAGACTGACGTTGCCCCTCGTCCATTTCTCACCCATAGCCACTGCTTCATACGATAATCTTTCTTATCGAGATGGCGGCGGCAACGCGGCTTGCCGCCAAATTCAACTCCTACTATTCGGAGAAACCAGGTAGGATTCAGCGAGGCGCCCTGGAGCGGTTTGCCAGTTGACTGACTCAACTTGTCGCCTATAGTCCTCACTACTATGGTCACCAATGCGGTAAGAGCCCGCAAAGAAGCGCAACGCGGAAGACGCATTCGAGACAATCGTACTGACTGTGGACGGTGACAATAGATCCTGGGTGGAATCGCAGACACGGTAGCACAACTGATCACGGCTGTCAGAGCTGGCTCCGCACGCCGCTCGTCCAATAGTGGGGACTTCATCTCGATTGAGATCCACGATCTAGACAAGGAGAAGCCGCCTGCTCTCGGGGAGCTGGGCCATGCGCGACACGCGATCCCGGCGTTTGACTTTGAGCGCCTCACCCGGTTCATGTCGTACGGCTTCTTCATGGCCCCGGTTCAATTCCACTGGTTCGGCTTCTTGTCTCGCACTTTCCCTCTCACGAAGAAGAACCCGAGCATTCCGGCGCTGAAGCGGGTGGCTTTTGACCAGCTCATGTTCGCTCCTTTCGGTATGGTGAACCCCAAGGTCAAGTTACTGTGTGCGGACGGATGGATCGCTAACCAGGTGTACAGGGTTGGCGTGCTTCTTCACATTCATGACGGTGGCCGAAGGTGGTGGAAAGCGGGCCTTGACGCGCAAGTTCCAAGACGTATACTTGCCTACGCTGAAGGCCAACTTTGTTCTCTGGCCTGCCGTCCAGATCCTCAACTTCCGTGTCATCCCCATCCAGTTCCAGATTGTAAGTTTCCATGGTCGGTGCCTGGTGGTGTGTTGCGCCATGCTGATTAAATGCTATATAGCCTTTTGTGTCATCTGTTGGCATCGCCTGGACTGCTTATCTGTCATTGACCAACTCTTCGGAGGAAGAGTGAAAAAAGAACGAATTCTCATCTTCAGGCATATCGAGAATTTTGCGAAGGTGCCATTCTTTCACGCCATATTGTTTCACTAGGCTCTGCTGTTCAATCATTTGTATGCTTACGGGGGCGTTGTATATCAATGGTTGGGTTAGGGGGAATTGCTTGTTCTTGTCGCATGGGTGGAGTCTCGGTTATCTTCCATGCCGGCAATGTTGTTTGATGCGCGTTGACAGGTTTTCGCTCACTAATATACATGTGCTTCAATTGTTTTGAGAAGGGGATGAAGAGAAATACACAGTGTTTGTTGTTTTGGTTCAGCAGTGCCGAGGATATGAGGATTTGGGGAATAGGTTGTTTTGGTCCAGGGTGGATGACTTCTCCGGGTTCGGGGGGAGGATCACGGAACGGGACGGAGTCAATAGTTCCATCAGAGCCGAGATGGCTAAAGCTGCCCATGGGGTGTAGAAGTATACATCTAGGCTCTAGGTAGTCTCCAGGAAATCCCTATATGATCCGAAGCGGGATTGACTGATTTCTGCGGCAGTGACATCAGTCCCGCAACAGCCCGAGCAGCAGGCGAATCTCTCAGCTCAGCTCACCGGCCGCCCCACCAATTCCCAAAACAATTACCCCGCCAGTCTGCCACCAAACCCGCTGTAACCAGACTCGGTCACCGTGAGATCTCTCGAGTCTCCCCTCCGTGCTCATAAAGTAAAAAGCCCATTTCCCATTCCAATTTTCCTTCCTTCTTCTCTCCTTCTTCCTTTCTTCTCTGAACCAATTCCCACGGATTCATTAGTCACCATGTCTCTCTCCAACAAGCTCGCTATCACTGACGTCGACCTCAAGGACAAGCGTGTCTTGATCCGCGTACGTTTACCCCTCACTCTCTTGTCTGCAGCAGCAATTGAACCCCCCCCCCCATACTAACAAAGGGACTTACAGGTCGACTTCAACGTCCCTCTTGACGCCAACAAGAACATCACCAACAACCAGCGTATCGTTGGAGCTCTCCCCACCATCAAGTACGCCGTTGAGAATGGCGCCAAGGCGGTCATCCTCATGTCTCACCTCGGCCGTCCCGACGGCAAGGTCAACCCCAAGTACAGCCTGAAGCCTGTCCAGGCCGAGCTCGAGAAGCTGCTGGGCAAGTCCGTCATCTTCACCGAGGACTGCGTCGGCAAGGAGGTTGAGGAGACCGTCAACAAGGCCAGCGGCGGCCAGATCATTCTCCTGGAGAACCTGCGTTTCCACGCCGAGGAGGAGGGCAGCTCCAAGGACGCCGAGGGCAAGAAGGTCAAGGCCGACAAGGAGGCCGTTGCTGAGTTCCGCAAGGGACTGACTGCCCTGGGTGACATCTACATCAGTACGTTGCTTCTGTCTGGCTAATGCATTGTATGAGGCTAATGTCTATCTCCCTAAAACCAGACGACGCTTTCGGCACTGCTCACCGTGCTCACTCCTCCATGGTCGGAGTCGACCTCCCCCAGAAGGCCTCCGGCTTCTTGGTCAAGAAGGAGCTGGACTACTTCGCCCAGGCCCTTGAGAGCCCCAAGCGGCCCTTCCTGGCCATCCTGGGCGGCGCCAAGGTCTCTGACAAGATCCAGCTGATCGACAACCTCCTGCCCAAGGTCAACAGCCTGATCATCACGGGCGCCATGGCCTTCACCTTCAAGAAGACCCTGGAGAACGTCAAGATCGGCAACAGCCTGTTCGACGAGGCCGGCAGCAAGATCGTCGGCGAGGTCATGGAGAAGGCCAAGAAGCACAACGTCAAGGTCGTCCTGCCCGTCGACTACATCACGGCCGACAAGTTCGCCGAGGACGCGCAGACCGGCAAGGCCACCGACGCCGAGGGCATCCCCGAGGGCTTCATGGGCCTGGACGTCGGCGAGAAGTCCGTGGCCCTGTACAAGGAGGTCATCGCCGAGGCCAAGACCATCCTCTGGAACGGCCCCTGCGGTGTCTTCGAGATGAAGCCCTTCGCCAAGGGCACCGAGGACACCCTCGACGCCGTCGTCCAGGCCGCCCAGTCTGGCTCCATCGTCATCATCGGCGGTGGTGACACCGCCACTGTCGCCGCCAAGTACGGCGTCGAGGACAAGCTCAGCCACGTCTCCACCGGTGGTGGTGCCTCCCTCGAGCTCCTCGAGGGTAAGGACCTCCCCGGTGTCTCTGCTCTGTCCAGTAAGTAAAAATGTTACCAATATGTCTAATGTCTCACCGGAGGCGTAGGGCACGGTTTCCTGTAGACGTGCAGTGAGGGGGATGAATGTGGGAGAGAGCGAGTGTGTGTGTGTGTGCATATATGCGTGCGTCATGTTTGCCTGTCTGGTCTTGTTCGTTCTGTCCCCCTTGCGTGTCTGTTCACCTCTCGGGGAGTTTTTGTGCGGTCTTATGCTTTCAACGAATGTAATGTACAAGGATGATGATAATTTCAACTGTTTTTGACTGTACTTCTTTCTGATCCGAGGTTTCTGTTCAGTGACGGGGTCGAAGCTGTGAATGATTGACAAATGTCGGAGCTTGTGTGTAGACTGGGAAGCTCCTACCTTATCAGTTAGATACTCATTACTCTGCTAGTCTTCTAAAGGCCATATCTACCTTGCCAGAATCTAGCAGACCCTCCATGCTCGAGACAGATGTATCCCCCAGATCGAGCCCGTCACCCGACACGAGCACCCTCCCCCAATCCAGAAACACTACACCCATACCTAATAGGTAGGAGGTAGTGGACTACCCCCATAATCATTCCCCCCTCCCTTACCATCCCAGAAAAGAACCACACTCTACGACCCACAGCCCCTCCACCATACACCATGCACCCTACACCCAAATCATCCCCCCAAAAAGAGAATCAAGGGAAGAAAGTCTAACATCAAATGCCATTCTTCATACCATCACAAGATCTCAAGCATAACCCTCATCAACAACTTCATCCCCGCAGTTGCTATCAACGAGACGCATCCACCTTTTTCAACTCCTCTCTGTAGACACACAAAATGTACCAATTAGCTTTATCCTTATGCCGAGAATATGCTCGAAACAAAGCCCCCAGTCTCAACGGAGAGGGCCGGATGGCGCCACAGTGCCCAGCACTCACCAAGCCGGGCACGTGATGAGGTTATGGAGAGGGGAAAGACCTACTTCAACTGCTTCGAAAAGTCCTCGGCGGCGTCGTCGTCGTCCCAGCTTTCCTCCCACAGGTGGGCGTCGGTGCCGTTGGCGGTGGCGGTGCCTTGTTCGGTTTCGTCTTGGGGCCAGTCTGTTTTTTTGGGGGGAGGGTCAGGTTGGTTGTTTGGTTGATTTTGGGGAGGGGGAGTTAAGGGTGCTGGGTGATGGGGTGTATGGTGTAGGGTAGGGATGGTGATGCGGCGTGGGAATTGGTTGTTGGGAAGGGGTGTGGTGTGGTGTGGTGTGGTTTACGCACCTTCCACGGGGAAGTCCTCGAACTCATCGTCTTCTTCCAGGATGGAGGGCTTCTGTTGTTGTTGGGGCTGTTGGCTGGGTTCGGCCTTGTCTTGGGGTTGGGTGCTGGTGCTGGTGCTGGACATGATGGGCGGGGAAAGAGAGTGGTGGTTTCGGGGGGGTGGTTCGGGGGTGGTTGCGTGGGTTGGTTGGTGTCGCGATGGAAGATTGAGTGTATGTAGTCGTGATTCTATTCCGGGTCGAACTGTGGGTTGAGGGTTGAGGTGGTGTTGGAGGTGATTGGTGGGGATGATGGTGATGGTGATGGTGATGAGGGGAAAGCAAGCAAGCAAGCGCGCGCAAGCCGCAGCGAGCAGCAGCAGTAGCAATGACAAGCTCACCGCACTCAGCTCCGATATTCCGCCCAACTGGGTTTAGCTTGATGGAATTGTGCATTGATAATTATACACTCATTACTCACTCACTATGCATGACTCGAATCATTATGCCCTCATGCATTCCCTCTGACGCAACATCCACAATCTCACTCACTCCCTCCTTGGTCTGGTCCAACGGAGTTAAGCAGCAACACTCAAGCTTTCAGCCTAAACAAGGCTGCCTTCACATCACAATCACTACTAGGTACCCTCTTAGATTTTACCGATTGAACACATCTCCTCCGGTCGGGATTCACTGAGGAAGCAGAGCTGCATCATCTATTCTTATCGTTTCAAATTATTGGTTTCGAGTCTACCACCAGCGTTAACTCCGCCTCGCCTCGCCGCTCCGCCGCCGCCGTCGCCGCAAGTGGACACGGCTTAGATCACTCCCGGACCCTTCATCTGGTACTTGTGTGCTTATAATATCGCTCCCCAAGTCGAGTTCCTTTCTCTCTCTCCCCCCTAGGATTATTTCTTACCTTTCTGTTCTTCCCTTTCTCGTTCCCGCTCTGTTCTACAAGGTTATGTCCCCGGAAAGTCTCTACGCTGCTGCTTTGATGGGAGATTCGCCGTCTCTCCCTCTCCGTCTGCTTTTTCTTCCTTTGGGCTCCGGGCCCCTCCGGCTCGTGACTGGAATCTGATCCCCCCCTCCCTCCCCTCAAAGTTGTCTCGTGCCCACCTTTCTTTGTTTATTTGTTTATTCTTCGCCAAATCCATCCTGTTTTTTTCCCCAATCAAGGATGTTTCGAGTCGGCTCATGGCTGTACGGCAAGAAGCCGGGCGCCAATGCCTCCACCCAGTCTCTGGACTCTTTGTCCGAACTACGGGATCGTGAGTGATTCCTTCTCCATGTGTTGAGGTTTGGCGCCAAAATCACTACGTACAGCATGCTGACTTCGCATCTTTGACTAGTTGAGGATGCCATGAGGGGTATGTTCTTTGCATGAACCTTGAATCTTTGATCTAAAACACCCCCGCTCTTTCCGGGGGCTAGCGCTGCAGGTGTATATTGGTTCTAACGAAGTCGGGACACAGCCGCTACTTTGATCCTCAATGACGACGTGGATGGTGCCGAGGATGGCCTGTCGGAAGGCACCTCCTCCTTCCACAATGTATGTATGCTATCCTGGATGAGTATTGTGCCTCTGCTGATCGAGGTCGGTGTTCTTTTTTGTCCGGTCGTGTAGCTCGGAAGAGGTGTGGTCGCTTTCATCCGTGCCACCTTGGGGTTTGAACAGGAGATCATGCGTCAAGGTAGGTCGCCCCTACTAGATCTACTGAGTCGGGAACCTTACTGATGGCGTGTTGTTCATAGCCTCGGAGCGACTCAATGCCGCCGAAACCAGTGCCGCCAATGATCAACATCGAGCGCAGCACAACTCCAATGCGCCCAACTCGTACCACTCTCAGATCTATGCGCCCGGGACGGAATTTGCGCTCTGCCAGGCAATGGCGCAGCTCATGAGTGCGGTTGTCGGGGTCCTGAACGAGAGCCTGACGGAGAGTATTAAAGGGTTCTACCGACTACGCAAGGCCTACATCACGTTGGATGCTATTCTGAAGATGGAGCAGAAGTTCATCATGCAGGAGCGGAGCTCTGGAGATAGTACTCCTACGGAGAGAAACAGCTCCACGACCAAACTTCCAGGGCCCAGTGTCACGACTAGCACGGCTCCTGCATCGCCCGTGGACGCGGCCGGGCTTTCAAAGCAACTGACCGGTCTGACGGTCACGGGCAGCACTGAGACCTTGACCACCACCTCAGACATGCTAGACCAGGATCCGGAGTCTGACATTTTCAAGAACCAGATCGATGTGTTCATCCACTCGGGCGCTAATTTCTGTTTCGGCATCCTCCTGGTCCTGATCTCCATGGTCCCGCCCGTGTTCAGTAAATTGCTCGGAATCATCGGGTTCCACGGAGATAAGGAGCGCGGGCTCAAGATGTTGTGGCAGGCGAGTAAGTTCCACAATCTGATCGGAGCCCTCTCCGCATTCGCAATCCTCGGCTACTCCAATGGGTTCGTCCGCTACTGCGACATCATGCCCGACCCCGCCTCGCCGGACGACGTGCAAGGCTACCCTCAAGAGCGCCTTGAGGCTCTGTTGGCATTGATGAGGGAACGATTCCCTAAAAGTCAGCTGTGGCTACTGGAAGAGTCGCGCATGAACGGCGCCAACCGCAAGCTGGACGTTGCCTTGGAGCTCCTGTGCGGGAAGGACCGCAGTCCCCTCAAACAGGTCGAGGCACTGCGAATATTCGAACGCAGTCTGAATGCGATGTATCTCCACAGATACGAATTGTGTGCAGAGTCTTTCATTGAGGTGGGCCATCTTACGAGCATTCTGAAATGTAACAATGTTACTGACCTTGTTAGTGCGTGGATCTCAACTCGTGGTCTCGCTCGCTCTACTACTACATTGCAGGCGCCTCGCATCTGAGCCTGTATCGGGGTATGTCCACGACCGATCCCACCGCTGCGGCCAAGCACGCCGAAAAGGCGACCCAGTACTTCCGCGCGGCCCCGCCCTTGGCCGGCAAGAAGAAGTTCATGGCGCGTCAGCTGCCTTTCGATGTGTTTGTCTCGCGCAAGATTGCCAAGTGGGAAGCCCGCGCCAAGGAATGGAAGGTCTCCCTGGTCGAGGCGGTGGGCGTTGATCCGATTGAGGAGATGATCTTTTTTTGGAATGGCCACAGCCGCATGACCCAGGCCCAGTTGGAGGAGTCGCTCTCGAAGCTGGCCTGGTCCGAGGGCCCGGACAACAAGGCGACCTGGGCGCGTGAGGGCCCGGAAGAGAAGGCCATCCTGCAGATCCTGCGCGCGGCTGTCTTCCGCGCCATGCGGCGGCACGACGAGGCCAAGGAGCTGATCCAGACGGGGATCTTCACGCAGGACAAGTCGCTGTTCACGGGCCATCTGCGAGACAACTGGATCTACCCGGTCGCGCACTTTGAAATGGCCGCCAACCTGTGGATGGAACGGCCGACGTACCAGGCGCTGCACGGCAAGGCGGTCACCGCCGAGGAGACTGGCGGTGAGAGCGACCCGTTGCAGCTGGAGCGGCGGCAGGTGCGGGAGTGCAAGGAGCACCTCGAGAAGGCGGCCAAGTGGGAGAGCTACGAGCTGGACGCGCGCATCGGCCTGAAGGTCACGGCGGCCATGGAGGCGGTGCAGAAGTGGGAAACGGCTCACAGTACCAGCGTCTAATGGGGTTTGGGGCATCTATACATACCAGGGGTGAGTCGATGACGATTGACGAGTTCTAATGACGGGTTGTACAAATATCCGCCGGCGTACATGATACAGAGGAATATATTTACACACTGCGAATCAATCAGGAATAGATAGATGGGGAAATGAATGCGATTTCGACTGCAATGTCAATCATGGATGGCAGCGAATATTTCCTAACTAAGTAAAGAGATATACTTATGTAGGTGATTCTTGAGCCGACGGTCACGTGCCTGTCTTTTTTGTTCTAGAGAATGAATTGAATCTCCACCAAGTACGGACTGTCTATTTTCGCAACAACGATTTTCTCGTTACAGCAAAGTTATCGACCATTCCCAATTGATTCGTTATAGCGAGAATCCGTAGTATGTACACCGCGGTTCGTCATCACTAGAAAGTTCAGCGCGGTATCAGCTGTCCTCCGTAGTTCCAAGTTCTGAAGTGGCGTCTCGGATTCTCGGCACCGGATTTATATCCGAGTCCACCAGCGATATGTCCGAGGAGCTCGGGCGGATGCTCCGACGGATGGCTCCGATGATGCTGAGGATTGCTCTTCGTTTCAGGTGACAGGGCTGAATTCAGTGACTGCATAGGTTTCTAACGCGTGTGATAGGGGTTGACTTGCGTGAGTCATTCTCCAATACTTTTCTCGAGCCTGCAAGTGATTAGGATGTGGTCGGTGAGCTGAGGCCGTCGGTGACGGTGCTCGGCTTTGCTCGCCGAAGGGTGCAGATGCACATCGATACCTGGGACTAAACAAGTTGGTGATGATAGCTAATCCGTGTTAGCGTATAGGTTAGGTAGGCCTGACTGCGTCACATTAGCGCTGGTCCCTCATACCGCTGCTTAGAGGACAGGGCAGGTAGACCCTATCCTAGCAGTAGCGCGTGCTCTCGCGCAATCTAGACTTCATCTGGACCCCTTCTATCGACACAATTATCGTCGCATGCGAAGGAGACACTTGACTCTATCCATCGCAGAAAACTTAAACGGGTCTGCAGGTCAATCACAGCAGCACACATGTACCTAGAGTACATCGAGCACTCACAGAATGGATCTATCAATCCATATACTCATGTCAAGTCCCTCGGCGACTGAACCAGCAAACGCCGAGATAAGACCCAAGGATCGGAGGTCCGACAACGGCACGGTGGAGAGGGAGTGGGCACCCAAGAGTTTTTTTTTGCAAGTGGATGTAAGTATATCCTCTGGGCTCTATCACTCTAAGTATATTAGCAGCGGACTGTTCCGTTGCAGTGACGTTGGACTTCCTCCCAATCTTTTTTCTTGACGGCAGTTCAACCTACTTCTGCTGGAGTGACTTCGAGGGATAAATTGACATCATCTACCTAGTATACATACTGTGTACTGCTTGCGAGAGAACAATCTTGTTCACTTTACTCTACACTCTACGTGAACTCTTTCTCAATTTTAATTTTATAGATTCTGTTGCCAAAACTCTATCTATAGTCGAGAATCGGGGAATTTGAACGGTGGGATTTTGCGAAATACCAAGAAACGATCAACATGTCACTTCCGGCCCACGAGGGCAGCGGCAGCAATTCCCAACCCCATAATCACCACCAGCCAAACCAGAATCAACTGTCATCGTCGCATTCCGTCATCTCATCCACTTCCACTTCCACCTCCACCTCCAGCACCCATCACCATCACCATGCCTCTCAATCCGAACCTCAATACCACGACATCAACAATGCTAACCCGGACCCCAACGCCCTCGAGAAGCAATCCACCGTCGCCTCGGGCTTCTCCGCCGCCCTGGAGACCCGCACGCACTCGATCGTCTCGCGCATCCGCAGCCGCGAGCCGGGCCAAACCGCCCGCTTCACCCACCCGCTTTCCCACACCAAGACCACCGAGGACGTCATCGTCGACTTTGACGGGCCGGATGATCCCTATCGGCCCATGAATTGGAGCTTTCGGAAGAAGGCGATCACGACGGTTTTGTACGGGTTGACGACAATGGGTATGTTTCCAGGTTTATCTTATCTCCGGGGAGGGATTGTATGCATGCGGGTGCATTTCGGAGGGGTTCTGTTCTATGAGGATGATATGCCTATGCTAATACTTCTTATTTTCGGTGAATAGGTGCTACGTGGGCGAGTTCGATGTATGTTATCCCCAAGCTTATTTGGAGTGGTGTGTGAGTACAATTGGTTTAGGTGATGATGCTAACAAGATGCGCATCTAGTTACTCCACCGGTACAACGCAAGTCGACTCGGAGTTTCACGTTGGCGAGGAAGTCGGGACATTGGGGACGACGCTGTTGCTTTTCGGGTTCGGTACGTCTACGCCCTTCCACCGTCACTTGCAACCATTCTATGAAGGGATTTTCAAATTGACTAACAGATGAATAGGCCTCGGCCCACTGATCTGGGCGCCCATCTCCGAAGTCTACGGCCGCAAACCCGCCGTGCTGGCCCCCTACTTCATCGCCGCGATCTTCTCCTTCGGCACCGCCACCGCCAAAGACCTGCAGACCGTGATGCTGACCCGCTTCTTTACGGGCTTTTTTGGGTCTGCCCCGGTCACCAACACCGGCGGCGTGCTCAGCGACATCTGGACGGCGGAGCAGCGCGGCGCCGCGATCGTGGGCTACGCGATGGCTGTTGTCGGCGGGCCCGTACTGGGGCCTATCGTCGGCGGGGCGATCACGCAAAGCTACCTCGGCTGGCGGTGGACGCAATACATCACGGGCATCATGATGATGTTCTTCCTCGCTCTCGACCTTTTATGTTTGGACGAATCCTACCCCCCGGTCCTCCTGGTGTACAAAGCGCAACGCCTGCGCTTCAGCACCGGCAACTGGGCCTTGCACGCGCGCCACGAAGAATGGGACGTGACGCTGCGCGAGCTCGGCAACAAATACATGATCCGTCCCTTCGCGCTCCTGACCACGCCCATCTGCTTCCTCGTGGCGCTCTACGCCTCCTTCGTCTACGGCATCCTCTACCTCAGTCTCGCCGCCTTCCCCATCGAATTCCAGCGCATCCGGGGCTGGAACCCCGTCGTCGGCGCCCTGCCCTTCCTGGCGTATCTGATCGGCATCCTCTGCGGCGCCGCCATCAATCTCTTCAATCAGCGCTTCTACGTCCGCCGCTTCAAGGCCAACGGCAACCGCCCCGTCCCCGAAGCCCGGCTCCCGCCCATGATGCTCGGCTCGGTGTTTTTCGCGGGAGGGTTGTTTCTGTTCGGCTGGACCGGCACCCTCAAGTTTCACTGGATCTGTCCCTGCATCGGGGCCGTGTTCATGGGCTTCGGGTTCTTCACCATCTTCCAGGCCGCCCTCAACTATCTGATCGACACCTTCCAGGCGTTCTCGGCCAGCGCCGTCGCGGCCAATACCTTCATGCGCAGTCTCTTCGCGGGCTGTTTCCCCCTGTTTGCGAATATCATGTTCACGAAGATGGGGGTGCCCTGGGCGGCGAGTGTGTTGGGGTTCGTGGCCGTGGCGTTGATCCCCATCCCCTATCTGTTTTATATTTATGGGAAGCGCATTCGGGCGCGCGGGAAGTGGTCGCGCGCTTCGGTTTATGATTGATTTCCTCCTCGTCTTTCTAGTTGGAGATTATATTTGAGGAATGGGGCTGGGTCCCAGGGTGGGTCATTCGGCAGTACATCTTCTGCTCTGAAAAGTGATTTGTGATTTATGATACCTCTGATGGAACCCGGTTAGATTTGTGTTTTGTGTTTTGTCTTTCCTTGCATGACCTGTATATATGCATACGACATGATCGGGGATGTTAGATACCCACTTTCGTTCTTACATGATAATGTTAGTCACTAATAGATTTGTTGTTTTTTTTTTTTCCGACTTGGTGTGAGCTCGTGGTTGCTATTGTTGTATCTGCATAATGTATCACTGCTGATTACGCTTAGTCATCAATGCACAGACTCATAGTAGATGCACCGACCCATTTACGAGGACAGGTATTCTGCTTCGCCGGTAATGGGCAGCAGGCAGATGAGTGGATGAGACACCACGCGGGGGATTCTATCCTCTTCCAATACAGCCGAGAGAAGTCTTCATCACGGGGTATACTGGAGGTTTATGGATATGCTACCGTGAGGCATCTACAGGAACTGGTCTGGTTTGTTGTTCGGGTTTACGCGAGTCAGCTGCGTAGGTAGGGTGTTGGGTGCACTGAGGCAGAGAGTCGCTTAGTTAGTCTAGTCTCCAGCTCAACATGTGATCTCCCCCCTCTCGGAAAAACTCCCAATCTCGTTGGCAAATTACGTCAGGTAGGGGGGGAAGGGTTGGG